TAATATATGCATGAAAAGTTTCAAGAGAAATAGCATTATATTCTTGTTTATCATAAATGCTTGTCGGTGCATTCAGCGGTACACTTTAACCATGCTGTATTTCATAAACAATACAAGTCATTATGAAATTAAATATACAGATGTATTGAAGTCCTATGTAATTGGGCCAAAAAAAGAGCTGGAGAGCTCAGCAAATTGCATTTAATATAAATTTAAAGTACAATATATTTTCATTTCATTGTAAATAACTTGCAGTTACATGTATAAAAGCAATACATTCAGTTTGCACTTTTCATATTCATATAATAAGTATTATTATTACATTTATTTATTTATTTGCACTTTTTTCACAAGAGCATGTTAATGGAGCGGATAGCTATAAAACCCTTGTGCACTGCAAAAAATGCTTTTCTAGCTTAGATCTTTTGTCTTGTTTCCAGCCAAAATATCTAAAAATTCTTAAATCAAGAAGGATTTTCTAGACAAGTAAAAATGATTGTCTTGTTTTCAGAAAAAACAAGTCGAATTCAAGTGAGTTTTTGCTTGAAACAAGATTATTTTTCTTACCCCATTGGCAGATTATTTTGCTTGTTTCAAGCAAAAACTCACTTGAATTCGACTTGTTTTTTCTGAAAACAAGACAATCATTTTTACTTGTCTAGAAAATCCTTCTTGATTTAAGAATTTTTAGATATTTTGGCTGGAAACAAGACAATGTTTACCATAAAAGCATTTTTTGCAGTGTGTCAGTTCCACAATCTGAATGATTTGTCAATAATACATTATGAACATTTTCTGCTCTTATTTATTTACTTTTTTTACTATTATTTCAGCAATTTTGTGTACATCTCATTTGTAATAATTAGATGAGTTTGTGTATACATGAAATCATCTTTATGATCTTTAACTATGGGCACTTTTGGACCAAAAAATAGAAAAAAAGCCGAAAAATAAACTCAATTTAGAAAATAAGCTCCCACACACTTTTCACACGCTCACTAGTTCATTGTCCAAAAGTGTATGTTACATTCATTACAGGAGCATCCTGGTATTTCTTCTAAACCAGCTCCATCACATTTCACATTTTTTGACGTCATTTAAATTACATTTTCAATATTTTTACGTTCAAACTTTTTATTAAAACAAATATTATTACAACAAGTAATATATATATATTTTTTACATTTTAAGACCAAACCCAAACATAATACATAACCAAGAAAAAAAAGAAAGAAAGAACGGATTTAGAACGGAAGATTTTTTTTTTAAGTAAATAAAATAACTACAAAACTATCATAAAATAAAGAATACAACTAATTATAGAAAATAGTAGTCATTGTAATACAAATAGATAAAATACAATATATACTTAATACAAATATATATATATTAGTAGAATATTAAGAGACCTGAAGTAAGCTATAAAGGGATGCCATTTATTGAAGAAATTACTTTTCCCAGAACATCTTACTTTTTCCAGTTTCAAAAAAACATGGTATCCACTAGCCATTGGGAGGTTGTTGGAGGTTTATTAGATTTCCAGTGGAGCAGAATACGGTGCCTAGCTAACAAAGAGGTAAAGGATCAAATATCCAGTTGTTTTGAATTAAACTGAGACCAAATGTTTGGTATCCCAAAGATTGCTGTACATTTTCAATATTTTTATAATAAAATGTCCAACTACAAGTCTGTTTGCATAGTGAGCATTATATGTATCCTAAATAGACACAAATAACTAATAATAAATACAAAAAGGCATACATATTGCATAATTTAACTAAAATGCAATTCACCTGGATATTATGTTAATGAGTAATATTTATTTGTTATCACACATCACGTCTCATCCCAAACATGCTCTTCACTGACCGTGTACCAAGTACACTAATTATTGACATAAAAATGTATATAAAATATACACTTTATTATTGACAGGAAATGAGAGAAATGACATCACAACTGTGCAACAGTCATAATTTGTGTAAAAATGGGTATCATTCATTTTTACAAAATAAATTCTGAAATTATTTATTTATATCTCAGCAAAACATAACATCACAGTAAAACATTTGACATGTTTTACAGATTACACTTTACACTATATTCACAGAACAATTCAAAACACCCACATATGAGCAGTGTAATGGCACTCTTTCTGGATATAATGGCACCTACTGAAAAAATAATATGATTACATTAATCTCCTGTTTATAGTTGCAGTACAGTGTCTGGAGACGACTTTCAAGATCAGCTCCAGTGACTATCATCTTGCCGCCCCTCAGCCGCTGAGAGAGATATTCCTCAATTCCCTCCTCAAAGTAACTACATTTATTACACCCCGACCTGTTTTTCTTTCATTATTTTGAGTACTGGTTTTTATTACTCAATATATTATGCAGCAAGCATGATTTGAGCATTCTGCCTCCTTTCCCAAAGACTCTTGTCTAATTGTCGTTTACAGAATGATATTGTTTCATTACCTGAGACGTTTCCATCTCCAGAGGACATCGAGAGAGCTGAGCAGCTGAAAAATGAGGGCATGTCACACTTTCCTGCTGTACTTAGACTAAAAACACTTTTCAATTAATTTGTCAGGATGCATTATGTATAACTAAATGGCATCTGTCATCACATCTTTCCATTGTAATGATGCAAATAAAACCAGGATCAATAATTGATGAATGCTGTATTCCCGATGCTCTGTGCACTCACATGCTTTTGTCTTTATCAGGGAATAACCACATGAAAGAGGAGAATTATAGCAGCGCTGTGGACTGTTATACAAAAGCCATTGAGTTGGACCAAAGAAATGCAGTGTATTACTGTAACAGGTGAATGCGTTGAGAATGCGTCAGTCATAGAGACGTATGTTTTTATGTTTGGTGTTGACTGCTGGGATTGTTCTCTCAGGGCCGCGGCACATAGTAAGCTGGGAAACTACACAGAGGCTACGGGAGACTGTGAGCGAGCGATTGCCATCGACCCGTCGTACAGTAAAGCTTATGGCAGAATGGGGTAAGATGCTTCAATTATTGTGCCATAACGGTCAGTGTTGATATTGTTAACTAGAACTACAATTGTTGAAAATAGCTTCTGGTTCATTGAAATAATGCCGAAATGATGTAAAACACAAATATTAGATGAAAAACATGAACTTAAATGAAACTTAGAAATGTTGCCGTAAAGAGTAACTATAAAAAAGTTATACAACTATAAAATAAAATAAGTATTAAAATGACTAAAATGGAAATAAAAATAGGAAAGCTAAATAAAAATAATAAAAAACAAACCAAAACGACGAAAAATGGCAAAAACCTGAACTAAAATTAAAATGAACAATTAAAAGTATAGAAATAAATGCTAATTCAAAATATTAGTAAATAAGTACTTATAGAAATAATACATATATAAATAATAGTATAGAAATAGTATATATAGTGTAGAATAGTATAGCAATAAATAAACATGAACTTAAAAAACGTAGAAATGTTGCCATGAAGACTAACTATAACAAAAACTATAAACAAAACGCAACCATAAAATAAAATATGTTTATGTATTAATATTACTAAAACTAAAACTGAAATGAAAATATATAAAAGCTAAATAAAAATATACAAAAAACAAAAAATGACTCAAACGTAAACTAAAATTAAAATGAAAATATAAAAATAAAAGGTCATTTTAAATATTGGTAATAGTCTTGAAATAATACTAAATATACTGATAACTGTCCTTTCATTATTTGTTTAATTCATATGATTCTAAATAGCCAAGTTGTGTTTTATCATTAATTTATTAATATTCCCATACAGTTACCAATTTGCCTGCATTAGGAATAAAATTTGTGTTGAGAACAAATTCCATTTTGAAAATATTCCAATTTGGTTTTATTCTTGAACATCTGTATTAATAATACATGAACAACGTTACCGTCTAGAATAGAATATAGGGATGTAACGATGAACCGCGAGCCGGATGAAAATCGATTCAAATATGTGACGATTCAAATCGGTTGAGATGCTAAACAAATCGCGATTCAATTAGGGGTAGGAGTTTATACAGTGGGTACGGAAAGTATTCAGACCCCCTTAAATTTTTCACTCTTTGTTATATTGCAGCCATTTGCTAAAATCATTTAAGTTAATTTTTTTTCCTCATTAATGTACACACAGCACCCCATATTGACAGAAAAACACAGAATTGTTGACATTTTTGCAGATTGTGCAGCAATAGCCTAATAAAAGGACACCTTTTCATTTACTGTCTTTAATCTCATTTTGTTAAAAAAAATCGTGAGAAAATCAAATCGTGAAATCAAAATCGTGAATTGAATTGAATCGTGAGTTGAGTGAATCGTTCCATCCCTAATAGAATATGATGAAAGAGAAAAACCGAGTGCCATAAATAGCAACAACAAATTTTGTAATTGCAAACAAATCACTTTTTAAAGAATCAGTCTCATGAGTTTAAACCTCAAGTCTTGAATATTTGGTTGCGATGGTACTTTTTATTTAGTATTTTTGGTTAGGAACAATTATTGTACTAAAAGTCATTAATGGAATCATTTTGGAGCAAAAAAAACAAAAACAAAAAACAATCAATCAAATGAAACGGAATTAGAATCAGAATCAGTGCATTCCATTTGATTCCCATCCCTGCTGAATTATACAACGTATTTTAAAAGTTAATCTAAAATGTTCTTGTAACTGTAACCAGTAAATTACAGTTACTCATTTGATACATTTGAATGATGGTACTTTATCTTTATGATTCTAGATTGGCACTAACTTCTATGAGCAAGTATCCCGAGGCGATATCTTATTTTAATAAAGCTCTGGTGTTAGATCCTGAAAACGACACCTACAAATCCAACCTAAAGATAGCAGAGCAGAAACAAAAAGAAGCATCCAGCCCTGTGAGTAGAAGAAGCTGCATTTACATTTGATCCATCCCATCCATCATAGACTGTCAGTCTATCTTAGTTTTTTACGAATGTATATTGAGTATCCCTGTTGAGTAATTAAATATGAGAGCTAGCCAGTAATAACATGTCTTCCTGCAGACGGCCACAGGACTGGGCTTTGACATGGCCAGCCTCATCAATAACCCCGCTTTCATTAGCATGGTATGTGCAAGTGGTTTCACATTTCTCTGTTAATAGTATTTATGAAAAGGGTCATAAATCGCCCCTGCGACCCCTTTCATGTGTCTGGAATGCAGCCCATGCCCGAGTTAAAGGGCCAGTCAGCTGGAGGCCTGAGGGTGAGCGTGTAGTTTCTAGCACACTGCAGCAGTTTAGAAAATGGGACACATTCATAACAAGAACTCGCACAATTTTAAGACCTAAATGCACAAAATCTAAGACAGGGTATGAAAGCTTTGGTTTTGCTTTAAAGGGATAGTTCACCCAAAAATGAAAATGTGATGTTTATCTGCTTACCCCCAGGGCATCCAAGATGTAGGTGACTTTGAAGAATTTTAACACAAACCGTTGCAGTCTGTCAGTCATATAATGGAAGTGAATCACAGGAATCACAGCTTTGAGAGTCAAAAAAACATACACAAACAAAACCAAATTAAAAATTACCGCCACCTATCTCTCAAATGAACCATTGACACTCTATCTACAATCTCAATTAGGAGTATCAATGGTCCATTTGAGAGATAGGTGGCGGTAATGCACTTATAAGTCTGTGATCCGCCGTAAAGTAAGAAGAAGACGACGACGCCTCACGCCCCGGCTGTTGAGAACGCGCTCAGGACACTTTGGACGTTGCTGTGAATCAGAGGTAAAAAACGATATAAATACTGTTCAGTTTCTTGCACAGACCGATCGTTTCGTGTCTTTACACATCAATGTATCGTCACGAGCTGCAGGGTTTAATTTGGTTTTGTTTGTGTATGTTTTTTTTTACTCAAAGCTGTGATTCCCATCCTCTTACATTATAAGACTGACAGACTGCAACTGAGGTTTGAGTTAAAAATCTTCGTTTGTGTTCTACTGAAGAAACAAAGTCACCTACATCTTGGATGCCCCGGGGGTCAGCAGATAAACATCACGTTTTCATTTTTGGGTGAACTATCCCTTTAAGGTTTAGAGGTTTGGAGTAGTATACTTCCATGCAGTAGTACTGTCAGTATTTCTGCAGGATATTACATGGATATACTGTGCACAGCTGCATGGATGATCTACTAAATTTACATTGCAATGGTGCATACTGTGCAGAATACTGTATCCCACAATGCAGTGCTTTTGAAACGAGCTTCAATTTCTGATGTCACCATTAAGCCAGGTGCCATTTATTCTATTAAGTTATTTTAACGAACTGCCAGACTAAATTTGATGTTCATATCCACTCAAACACTTCCTCTTTTCTCTATAGGCTGCCAGTGTGATGCAAAACCAGCAGGTGCAGCAACTGTAAGTTTAATCATTTTGACTCTGTGCATTTGTGGTATACTTTTATAATTTAAAGGGATAGTTTATCCAAAAAATAAATGGTCATTCATAATCTGTAAGACTTTTGCCCCGTACCACAAATGATGTTTTTTTTTTTTCTCACCATTTGTTGATAATCAACTTTTTTAAGCTTCAAAAAGTACATAAGAACATGATAAAATTAGTCCATATAAATTGAGAAGTTTAATCCAAGAGTTACGATTACAGATTTAATTGAAGCTTTATCCACATATAAACATTGACCAACACACATACATGGAGCACATCAAATATGGTAAACGGAAACTCAACCGTACTTGTTTGAAATGTGATAAATGAGTTTTAACTCTTAATATAGGTCACACACACTATATCATCTCATGGCACGGTGTGTTTGTGATTAACTCTCCAAAACCAGCATGTCGGGCATGATGTCTAACGCGGTGGGGGGACCTGCAGCCGGAGTCGGTGGATTATCTGACATATCCAGTCTCATTGAAGCGTGAGCATCTTCTCTTTGATGCTTGATTGACTTGACATGTGTTACACTAGCGGTTTTAAGAATGATGTGCTACACAGATATTCAAAGGTGATGTGTATGATATACCGCTGCACCAAGCAGAATGATATGTTCCGTGTGTTGCTGTTTCTCTCAGTGGACAGCAGTTCGCCCAGCAGATCCAGCAGCAGAATCCAGAACTGATCGAACAGCTGAGGAACCACATCCGGAGTCGCTCTTTCAGCGGCAGCGCCGAGGAGCACTCCTGATCCCAGCAGGTCTGAGACGCCACACTCATCCTGCTTGAAGAACTGTATACTTGCATGCAGTCTTAATAGGAGTAAATGCACTCGTTAGAGTTAGAGACGTGAGTTAGTGGTTGGCAACACATTGAGCCGTGCTGCTCATGTGGGCATCTCAAGTTCGAATACAGCTTGTGACATTTCTAACACAGACTCGATGGAAAAATTAGCTTCTACTTTCATTCGTGCTCCAAAACTTACCTATACTTACAATTTACTGCAATTTCCATCTGAATTAAACACTAGAGGCTGTTCAGTACAAATTATGAATGCAGGCGTAGATTACTGAATAATAGACTTATTTTTTACCATAGCATTATAAATGTCTTTAATGTCACTTTTGATCAATTTAATGTGTCTCAGCTGAATAAAATGTATTTCTGAAAATTCTTTCACTTAGTGCAGGGGTGGCGAACGTCGGTCCTGGAGAGCCGCAGCCCTGCAGAGTTTTGCTTCAACCCTAATCAAACACACCTGAACAAGCTAATCAAGGTCTGAACGGTTATTAGGAAGCTACAGGCAGGTGAGTTTTAATTAGGGTTGGAGCTGAACGCTGCAGGACTGCGGCTCTCCAGGACCGGAGTTCGCCATCCCTGACTTAGTGGTTTGGACACACCGTTCAACACAACACATTAAGCTGTGGTGCTCATGTGGGCGTCACAAGTTTGAATAACTTGCGACATTCAGTTTCTAGCTGAAATGAACACTGAAGGCAGCAAAACAAATTATGTTTACAGGAGCAGATTATCGATTAATAAAGACTAATTTTCTTGTGGCTCATTGCACAATGCTATGTTATGACCTCAAAACACTTTTCCCATAGTGCATTATTTGTTAACTAGTACATTTTGACATTCGCGTCACAGAACCAGCTTCATATTTATGGCTTTTCTGATGTAGTAAACTTGCTCAGTAGCGCACCTGGTACAGCACTTGCAATGCAAAGCCTGGGAAACACCAGTCACAATACTCAAAGAGCACAAAGACTTGTAGAGTGGCATGGTTTTATCTCATGTTTGCTTTTGTTAAAGGGATGGTTCACACAAAACGGAAAATTCTGTCATCATTAACTCACCTCCATGTCGTTTATTTATTCACATTTCTTTATGTTGGTAACCACACAGTTGACAGTAGCCTTTGATTTCCATAGTACTTTCCATATTATGCAAGTCAATGGCTACCAGCAATTGTTTAGTTACCAACTTTCTTTAAAATACCTTCTGTGTTCAAGAGAAATGAGTAACTCATAAATGTTTGGAACAACCTGAGGGTGAGTAAATAGTGACACATTCATCCGTTTCAGATTAAATGTAATACATTTTATCACCACTCACTTTGAAAGTGTCGCGAAACATGCAAGAAGTGATGTAATTACCATTGTGTATGAAATGTGCTATATAAATAAACTTTGCCTAATATCATTTTGCAGGAATGTCGCAACAGCCGTTTTTCCAGTGAGCCTAAAAGCTTACCATTACTACTCCTTTTTTCACTGTCTGCAACTTTTCTGCAAATTTTCATATCATATTTATACTGCTGTAAATGTATTAAATGAAGTGATGTAAAAAGTATTTACATCTACAGGACTTTGACGGTACTACAGCATGTGCATTTTTTGCCCTTACTTCACCAAACTTGCAACAAGGCAAATATGAGTGCATTAGCAGGTAGTTATGAATCCCAGATGTTTCACATATAAGATGAGGACATAGCTGAGGCCTTTTTGAAGGATACTGGTTGACTTACGCCCTTTTGAGTACTTGAACTTAAATGAGACTTAAGCGTTTGTAGACGCCTCGTTTTGAGGTGTTCGGTTTCATTTTCGATTTTAGAAAATAAACGTGGATTACTCTCCTCACAAATCGACTGTTTCTTGGTTTTCACTGGCATTTCTCTTAGTTGTCGAGGACTAATGCATCTTTGAGCCTACATTCTGTACGTGTAAAATACTTAACTACTGTTAAAATCAGATACTCTAAGACTTTTACTCAAGTCATACTGAAATCGGTGACTTGTTACTAGTAATAGAGTCACTTTTGCTCTAAGGTATCTGTACTTTCACCCAAGTATGTTTTTCAGGTGCTCTTATTAAATGTTTATGCAACTGTGTATCCTGCAGAATTATGAAAACTATGAATCTCTGTCTTCTGGTCTATACAGGATCAAGAACCGAAGGAGGGCGGCGGAAGGAAGTCGTGAGTGCAATCGTTTAAATCAATCTTCTATTCCTATTCGAACCTGAGATGAAGGGCATGGCACTTTATATGGAAGCATCAGAAGAGAAGAGGAAAAAACACATTTAAAATCACCTAATACACAGAGAACATCATCTTAATACCCGAGTGAGGTTTCTTTGTGTTTGTCTGTTTAGATAACGTTATAATTAGGGGATACATTTTGCTCTTCTACAATGACTCATGAATAGAAAATTAATTTCTTAAATATAATGAAATCAATTAAATACACATTTCTGTAGGTGACATTTTAAACATTGATTATTACTATCATCAGATGTTTCAGGAAAAAAAAAATGTTTTATGTATGCTAATAACATGTTTATGAGTATTCATATAGAAAAATGCTGTATATTTAAAAAATGACAGCAATTATATGAATTTCTGTCATTTCTTTAAAAGCATTGAATTCCATTTTAATGATGTATTTAATATATTTTCAAAATATATATAAATGATTCTGTATCCTGTTTACTACTTGAATGCAAATTAATTCAGGAACTTATTTAATATTTAGCAACTTTGCATGTGAAATGACTGACAACACCTGCTATAACATGTGAAGAGCTTAGCCAATCATAACAACCATGTCATTTAAAGATTCTCTTAAAGGTACAGTGTTTCAAAAAATGGGATCAGAGAAAAGGTGGCATATGATTACCTAGGGTGACCATACGTGCCATTTTCCCAGGATGCGTCCTGGCCAGGATTTCTATATTGCCTAAAATATCTAGGTTTTGGCTTTGTTTGCGTGTGCAGACCGATCGGTGTATGACATCAAAATACCATACAGACGGTTCCTTATGCTTTCAAAATGCTCTCGAGATATTTTGATGTCATACACCGATCGGTCTGCACACGCAAACAAAGCCAAAACCTACATATTTTAGGCAATATAGAAATCCTGGCCAGGACGCATCCTGGGAAAATGGCACGTATGGTCACCCTAGGTAATCATATGCCACCTTTTCTCTGATCCCATTTTTTGAAACACTGTACCTTTAAGAGAATCTTTAAATGACATGGTTGTTATGATTGGCTAAGCTCTTCACATGTTATAGCAGGTGTTGTCAGTCATTTCACATGCAAAGTTGCTAAATATTAAATAAGTTCCTGAATTAATTTGCATTCAAGTAGTAAACAGGATACAGAATCATTTATATATATTTTGAAAATATATTAAATACATCATTAAAATGGAATTCAATGCTTTTAAAGAAATGACAGAAATTCATATAATTGCTGTCATTTTTTAAATATACAGCATTTTTCTATATGAATACTCATAAACATGTTATTAGCATACATAAAACATTTTTTTTTTCCTGAAACATCTGATGATAGTAATAATCAATGTTTAAAATGTCACCTACAGAAATGTGTATTTAATTGATTTCATTATATTTAAGAAATTAATTTTCTATTCATGAGTCATTGTAGAAGAGCAAAATGTATCCCCTAATTATAACTATTCTGAAAACAATGTGATGGACATTTTGCAGCGCTTTAGAAAAAAAAAAAAAGTATTGTCATTTTAGAGAAATATGTTGATTCAGTTGAAAATAAATAGGCATGGTTACAATTTATACTTTTATAATTGAAATGTAGTTATTATATTGTTACATCTGTCGCATAATTTCTGTTAGACTAATGAAATTCCTCGGTTGTGTGACTGACTGCATTGAGTTTTTTAGAATTATAATTCAGTAAAATCCTATTGCCATTCCAATTCAGATTTCATTTCAACATCCTGTGGACCGAAAAGCATTTCTTAAGCCTTTGCTATAAATGCATGAAAAAAGCCCATTGATGATGTCTGAGTTTGGCGTACCTGTAAACCCTGGACGGAGGACAGCAGTTTGAGAGGAATGGAGAGGGAAGCGCTGGGGCTGAGTTTCCCCAGCTGTCTGCCTGACACCCCACACCAGTGAACGGAGCGAGTGTTACACATCTCCAGCACCAGATCCATGGTCCTCTCACTGACAGCAAACAAACCAGCGCTCAACACTCCCCGACTACAGTACGAGCACACAGACAGACGCACAGCAGTGCTCTTACCTGCAGTTTGTGATTTTACAGGTGATGTCGAAGGGCTCCTCTAGACTGACCGTGTCTGGGATCAACTCGAGAGAAAGCCTGACGTCACCGTAACCAGGAGCCTAGAAGAGAAGAGGGGGGGGGGACACATGAGTAGTATCATGAGATTACTTTTTCAAGTGACTAGCAAGTAGTAGACTAGCTCTCCTGTCCCCGTGTTGAGAAGTGACTAGCAAGTAGTAGACTAGCTCTCCTGTCCCCGTGTTGAGAAGTGACTAGCAAGTAGTAGACTAGCTCTCCTGTCCCCGTGTTGAGAGAAATTGAGAGTTGCCAAAAATATAATATTTGGGTTTTTTTGTTATTAAAACTAAAAATGAACACTAAAGGCAGCAAAACAAATTATGCTTACAGGAGCAGATTACCGATTAATAAAGACTTATTTTCTTGTGCCCTCCCCAAATTTTGCCTTTACTGTTTTGTGTTTTCAAAGTAAAGTATTTACTTAACACTGAACATTTATTTAACATTCTAGCAGACATTATACTAACAAAGCACAACTTCACTTAAAATGAGTAAGGTAGTAAAATAATGAGACCCCCTTCTTGAATCAGGCATGTATTTTTTTTAACTGTACAAATAAATGCAGACTTGCTGAACAGCAGAGACTTCTTTTAAGACATTAGAATATATTTCCGATCCCACAGATGGATACAAATCTATTACAGATTTCAACACCATGTGTGAATGTTATAATAAAAGTGACCCTGGAGCACAAAGCCAGTCATAAGTAGCACGGGTATATTTGTAGCAATAACCAAAAAAAAACATTGTATGGGTCAAAATTATAGATTTTTCTTTTATGCAAAAAAATCATTAGGATATTAAGTAAAGATCATGTTTCATGAAGATATTTAGTAAATTTCCTACCGTAAATATATCAAAACTTCATTTTTGATTAGTAATATGCATTGCTAAGAACTTCTTTTGGACAACTTTAAAGGCGATTTTCTCAATATTTAGATTTTTTTTGCACCCTCAGATTCCAGATTTTCTAACAAACCATACATCAATGGAAAGATTATTTATTGAGCTTTCAGATGATGTATAAATCTCAATTTAAAAAAATTGACCCTTATGACTGGTTTTGTGGTGCAGGGTCACAACTGTATTATTAGTGCTGTCAAACGATTAATCGCATCCAAAATAAAAGTTGTTTACATAATATATGTGTGTGTACGGTGTTTATTTATTGTGTATATATAAATACACACATACATAGGCTATTTAAGAAAAATATGTTACGTTTATATATTAAATATATTTATACATTATATAAATTATATTAATATAAATATAAACATACGAGTGTGTATTTATATATACATAATAAATACACACAATACACACACATTTGCTTAGGCATAATTCTTTAAACGTTATAAAAACACATATCAGTGTAAACTAAACTTACCTCAGCATTGTAGAATTTGGTTTTTACATCTAGAGGCTTGAGAACCTGGTTCAAAATAGAGTTAAAACTGAAGTTTGAGCTGCAGTGTGATTCTACCTCAACAGAATCCATGTAAAACTCAATTTATCGCACAACTCAAGACTGTTTTCACTGACGTGGCTTTAGTTCTTCAATACAACACTCTGCTGACTATCTTCTGATGTACAGAGCAGCACAAGATCTCATACTGGCGTTCAAATGTCAAGCTTTAGTGTAAATTAAGTCTTGGCTCTGTGCGAAATGGTTTACAAGTGATGTGTGGAGCTGGCGTCCAAGCACAGTGCAGAATGACTGAGCGGAGGAGGAAATAAACTCACCTGAAATTTGAAGAACTTTCTAAAGTAAAGCTTCTCTCCAGTCTGAGTGGTGTAACTGACGGCACAGACCAAGCTGGAATCAGATGATAAACATATATGGTGAGGACTTTTTGTACACGCATCTTAAAATGTTTTTGGTAGCAACATAATTATGTAACAGCATTTGGTTTCAGTAATGTCACATAATTATAACCTTCCAAGTAGTTATAGGTATGGAAGGCCGTTTCCGCCACTGAATTAAAAAAAGGTTATTGCGACTTTTTATCTCACAATTCGGACTTTTTCTCACAATTGCGTGATATGAACTCGCAATACTGACTTTTTTCTCACAATTGCAAGTTATAAAGTCTAATTCTGAGGGGGAAAACACTTACATGTGCTCAGAATTGAGAGCTTGTATCTCACAATTCTGACTTAACTCGCAATTGTGTGTTATAACGTCAGAATTGCTCGCAATTCTGAGAAAGTCACTCAATTATAGAATATCTCTCAATTCTGACTTTATTTCTCAGAATTGCATGATTTAAACTCGCAGTTCTGAGAAAAAGTTAGAATTGTGAGATAAAAAGTTGCTATTACCTTTTTTTTTTTTTTCAAAAAATGTTATTCAGTGGCGGAGACATATGGAAACACGTGTCCGCCACTAAATAAAAAATAAAACAAGGTAATTGCGACTTTTTATCTCACAATTCTGACTTTTTTTCTCAGAATTGCAAGTTTATATCTCGCAATTCTGACTTTATAACTAGCAATTTTGACTTTATAACTCGCAATTACCATGTTTTATTTTTTATTCAGTGGCGCAAACGGGCTTCCCTTAAAGAGATATAAAGCCCCCCGCAAAAAAACCCGCTGGGGGACTTGAATTTTCCCATGTAGAATTGATTGGACTGTGAAAAGTGGGCTTGGTTAGATCTGAGAGTGCATTATTTAGTGTGTTGAGTGTGCAAGTATTATTTATTATAGTATTTATTACAATTTTGAAGTCTTTTATTTTACATTTTCAGTTTTCTATTTAATTTACATTTTAGTAATTTTATTAAGTGCTTTTGCAATTTGTATTAGTTTTTCATATTTCTGTTTGGCTTTAATTGCATTTTTATTACCGTTTTAGTTTTAGTTCATTAGTACGTTAAGCTTATTTGCTTCAGTTAGTTTTCAGTCAGGTTTTTTAACATTTATTTTTCTATATAAATGACTAAAAATAATTTAAATACTTTGTTAACAATAACAACACTAGATTCACAAACTATCATTATTTGATAAGAAACCTTTATTATATTAATACGAACCATTTTATAAAAAATTATTTTGAATACTTTTAATTTTCGTTAACAACAACAACACTGGATTTAAAAACTGTCATAACCTTTGTTATATTAATGCAAACCGGCATTGCATTACTAAGAACTAAAGGCTTTGAATGTTTCGACCATCAGAAGGCACGTACATGTGTGTCCCAATCTCCTTGACCTCGTGATGGATAACATCATCAATGCAGCACTCGGGCTTGAGCTCTGAAACGGCAGAGTTTGAAGCAGATAAATTTAACCTCTGAGAGCTCGTCTGCAGGTCCGCCTGTGAGAGGAGAGAATCATGTGATATCAAAACAGCTGCAGGAGATACTCGATCACTTCCCACGAGCCGTTACCTTCACAAGAATATCTTTGACTACTTGATTGCTGTCGTTGTGCACGCTGATGTAACTGGAGAAGGTCTCGCCAAGGAAAATATTTCTGTACGGGAAATGGAGAGAATGCATATTTCGAATCGCTGGAGCACTGAGAGATTCACATGGGCATGTGGCACTTTCCACGAATAGGACTTAACCTGCAGGAAATGTTGGTCATTAACCTCGGGAGGTCAGCTGAAATACTATATGCGCTGATTTATTTCTATTCTTTTCGTGTAATGTTTGTGATTTTTGTAAACTGTTGTCTATATACTTCATTTCGGTCATTTTTGGTAACACTTTGCAATAAGGTTCTATTTGTTGACATTAGCAATAACTAACAATAAAAAATACTTCTAAAGCATTTTTAAAAACTTCATTAAAACTTAAAGGTTAATTTCAACATTAGCGAAGATATTTGTAAAAATTTTATCAAAAATTGTTAATATTATATCACGGAAATGAATTAACAATAAATAATTGTATTTTTAACAGTCATTTTTAAAAGTAATTTTAGCAAAGATGAATAAATACTATAACAAATGCATTGAATCTGCAAATTTATAGATTTGGGATGGAGAATACAGACATTTGATGCGTTTTAAACTAGATTATAATGAACATTAATTTTGTTTTTTAGATTATAGTTAATCAAACAAATCTAATAGTTCTAATTATAAATAATAGAATTTTAGAGGCAAAAAATATTTTGCCAGTTTGCCTCTAAATATTTTAAAAAGCCAAGAAACACTAAGGTGTACCATGTTTGTGGAAAGTGCCATGAACTCAAACAAATCTTTTCAGTTATCGATATGCATATAATTTGATTTTATTAAACAAACATTACCCAAAATTCTGTGGCAGCGTGAGCATTTCCCCAAGGATTAGTGTTTCAGCCCCCTTTACGGTCGATGGATCGTCTTTCATGAGTCGTACAAACAGATCACCTGTAGACATGTGATATGCTGAGCTGTAAAACCTCTTGAGAGACAGTCAGCGCTTAGATTTAGATCACTCTATACATCTAAATCAATCGATCGCTTTATCCGTGTCTTATTTATGCCATTTTTAACATGTAGGTCACAGGCCGTAAATTGCCACCATGTATAAATCTCCAGATGTAAACATCTCCTGTATGACAAAAATAACATCAACATGTATAAATCATCAAATTATGAGCAATTACCAAACAAACTGTTTGCAAGCCATGTTTCTGCTGACTATTTATATAAAAAAGCATAACAAAGTCACTTCATGTTTTCAGCATTACAATCTCATTCATGCGGATTTATAGGGGAAATACATACATATACATATTTCAGCCCCTTTTATATATAGAAGTGCTACTCAGAACTGTCTTAGTGACATGCGGCTCTGGAGCACGGCTGCTAGAGATCGCTTTCAGAGCCATTGGGCAAACAAACACTGCAAACTGCTGATCTATCACATGGCCATCCTGGGGAAGGCATTATACTCGGGATCTCACAGAGCTGCTGCTAAACGCTTTCAGAGAAGCTCAATACTGGACTCAGCAATGGCTGATGGGTTGCATTCATCGACTGTATAAAAACATGGACGTAGTGTTCGTGACGTCACCCGTAGGGTACCGAAGAGAGTTTTTGAAGCTCAAAAGTGGGCGGAGCCGGCCGTCACCATCTTGGCAGTGCGTCACTCCCGGATAATCGAAGATAGGCAAAGAGGCGGGAGCTGGTTGTTGAAACCACGCCCACTTAGCTCGACGGTGGTGACAGCAGCGGCCATCCACCTGTCACTCAAGTGGCCACGCCCTTAATTATGCAGAACTTTAAGGCTTAATATAATTTAAACGGATGAGTTATAAAAACATTCACCCCCCTCACAGTTGTCATGAAGGGCAAAATTAGCTATATAGACCAAAATAATTTTTTGAACCAGGCTGTAAACTTGTTTTTTTCTGCTGTAAAGTTGGGCATTTTAACATGGGGAGTCTATGGGATTGACTCCCTTTTGCAGCCAGCCTCTAGCGGTCAGTCGATGAATTACAGTTTAAGTCACTTCCGTGTTGGCTTCACCAGATAGAGTGGGAGGTTGCCGCTTGGTTGCATTACAACAACAAACCCTGCAACATAATACTTCAGACCAGAGATGCCTGAACCAGAGCCACAGGCCAAAGCACAAATTAATCTAACTAATGAATTATGAAACTATTTTTTTTACCAATGATTCTGTATTTGCTCACTATTGCTCAATTGTCACTGGATTGTACCTGGAAGATCTCGGTCCTCACACGTCACTGGCATGTTTGTAAAAAGTGTCGGTTTGGTCAGCCGCATCACTGGAGAGAGAAACAAGAGACTGTTAATCTGACTTTGCATCAATACTTAGATTTATTTAAGGCTGATAGGAGTAACAGTAACAACTCTACAGTAACTGATGCAAGGACCAGCAAAGCAATAAACTGGTGTGTTCAGCATAATGTAAATATAGATATGTAATATACACATTGATTGAACTGCCTATCTCTGCGAGTCCTCGGCTATAAAGAACCAAATTATGAAGATCGCATAATATTTCACTGTAGCAGGATTGTACAAGATGGTTTGCACTCTGTAATCATTTTTTAACCAGAACCTGTATGTAGCTAAATGTCATACAGTAATGAAAATCACCCAGACATAATCCTCTATAATCAATCTGATTCAAATCCGCATGAAATTCAATTCGGTCGTACAACACTATCACGATGTGTATCTACAACTGCGCTTATTCCCCCGGTGGTCTTCAGTCGTGTAGTTTATATTTTGTAATAGTAAGAAACCTGGCGACTTTTGTGGAACCTGCTAAATGGTCTTTCAAAGCTCAAACACCAATCTGCCTTCCAATGTTCATTTTTTTAATCTATATTTGTGCTTATAAAGAAATAAAGGTGTATAATTTTGATGCGAGTATTGTCTAGTACCATGAAATACCCTTAAAATACAAAATATCAAAGCGTAAATATTACTGAAGCAAAATATAGCGCATTTATTTCATTAAAAAACAAAAAAGGTTACATTCATTGATGTCAGTCCGCTTTGATTGTTGAGGATCACAAAAGGCTTAATTTTCTTTATGCAAAATATAACTTGAATTTTTGTGTTTTTATGTGCTTATGTTAATTTACACTAGTTTCTCTAACCTGCTAAATATACAACCTATATAAATACAATATGAAAACGACCGTCAAGAATAAAAGCATTTGTTGTTCTTCATACATTTAGCCAATCTGAAAGCCATTGTGCACAAGAATGCTGCATGACAGATTTAGGGTTATTTGACATCCAGCACAGAAGAGGTTATAAAGATCTTTTCTATCATCTAATTCAATAACAGACAGCGAGCTGATGTCTGCTCATACAAATCAGCACCTCTCGTTTGTTTACTACTGGACAACTCCATTTTTAATTACTAGACGCAAATTAATTGACTGTTTTTAAGAAACGTGCTCTGAAGGACAAAAAAAGAGCAAACATTGTACCGTGTCACAAACTTAATGCGCTGCAGTAACGTTAGATTTGAGACCCGAGTCTCTTCTGTACTCAGCAGACATGATTAGCATTAGCAGCTAGCAGCGGGGATTTCAGCGATATTTATGAATGAACCGCAACATTGTTCAGACATTCAGCTGCGCCCTCGGTAACGCTACTCTAGTAAGAAAGTAAACACCCGCAGTACCTTTTAAAGCGAGCAGATGCTCTTGTTTTGCCTGGCTGACATCCATCTTGTCTGCTGCAGTGGACTGACCTTTGACCTGCATATCAGATGCTCACGGCGAGTACAGAGGGACAAACCGCGTTTCAGCGACACCAGCGAATGCGCTGCACTCGAACACATCTTTGAGATATAAGTACGCCAGTGAAGTTGCAACTCTCACTGGCCAATGCCAGCCAAGATGGCGAATAGGGGCGGGGCCCCTGCCACTATATAATGCGCCGTATTGGCGGCATAAGCTCAGAATCTTCCGACTGAACCAATAGTACAGCAGACCTGAGCAGTGAACAAGGCGACCTACGCCATGTCTTGTTCCCGTCTCTCAGGGAGCCGAGGTTAGGACAGTAACCGGAGACGTTCCCTATCGAGAACGTTAATGCCTTGGGGACTGTATAGAACAACGCCGTGGAAGCAGCGAAGTAAAAAGGCTCGGCCTCTGCGGAGCTAGCATGAACAGTTCTTGCAAGACACTAAAAATAATCCCCAACCAATCAAATACAACCCTGCGACTTGCCTCGAGGGGATTGGATGTAGATTCTCGCTTAGGGATCCAATCAGGTTACTCAAAATCCATGTCCGATGGCAGGTCTCTTATTGAGAGAAAGATGCAGCGCCGTCGCCATACAAAGCTAAGATATTATAATCATGTCAAACGCATACAACTATGTAATATAATAGAGCAATGAAGCATGTGAGCGGCAAGGCCGGGCACAATACCAACACACATAGAGAATGGCCGCATCTGGGGCACCACAGTCTGAACATGACGATGGTCCCGCCCCCGATCCCCCTACACAACCTAGTCGAAACCACAAGCACAGTCAAACGGCTTGTGGTTGCAGGTAGAACCATGGGTTGTACTCACCGACAGGACCTGTGATGCTAATGACCACACGTCCAAATTGTATAATCTGGCGAAGGTATTCTGCGAAGACCATCCAGCCACCATACAAATATCTTTGATAGAAACACCCTTAGTCCACGCCCACGAAGAGGCAACCACCCTCGTTGAATGGGCTCTAACACCAATAGGACATTCCATTCCCTGGCTGGAATATGCCAAGGCAATAGCGTCGACCACACAATGTGATAGCCGTTGTTTGGAGAAAAGCTGCCCTTTGGCGCTGCCTCCATAGCATACAAACAGCAGCTCAGATTGTCGAAACTGAGCCGTGCGGTCGATGTAAACTCGCAAAGCCCTCACCGGACACAACACCTGATTCGGTGCGGCATCCAATGAAGTCTCTGCCTCTGGAGTGGAAGCAGAAAGAGCCACCTATTGCGCTCTGAACGGTGTCGAGAGCGATTTAGGCACGTAGCCCAATCTTGGCTTGAGCGTGACGTTACAATCACCTGGTCCAAACTGCAAGCAGTCCACATTCACAGAGAGCACATGCAAATCCCGCACGCGATTGACCGAAGCAAGGGCGAGCAGCAGCACTGTTTTAAGCGAGAGCTCCCTCAAGCCGACAGTCTGAAGTGGCTCGAAGGGCGGAAGGGCTAGCGCCCCCAGCACTAGAGCCAGATCCCAGGATGGCACTGTAGGAGGGCGAGAGGGTTTTAGTCTTCTCGCGCCTCTCAGAAATCGGGTCACTAGATCGTGTTTTCCCACTGAGCGCCCGTCGATAGCAGTGTGAAAGGCAGAGATAGCTGCAACATAAACGTTGAGAGTGGAGGGCATACTGCTGCCCGTCCATTCGTTGTTACAAAAAATTCAGAATGTCAGACACGGGGCAATTTCCCAGGTCCCGACCATTCGATTCACACCATCTCTCAAACACTGCCCATTTACAAGCATACAGGCGTCTCATAGAAGGGGCTCGCGCCTCCGTAATCGTGTCCATCATGCAGCGAGACAACGAGCCTCATTCTGGGTGGGGGTGCCATCCCGAGCCGTCCGCCTGAAAAAGGAGATCCCGTCTCAGCGGGATCGGCCACGGGGGAGCCGTTAGTATTTCCAGCAGATCGGGAAACCAGGGCCTGTTCGGCCAGTACGGAGCAACTGATAACACTGACGCCTTCTCCTCTCTGATTTTGTGTAGCACTTGCGACAAAATCTTCAGCGGGGGGAAAGCATACAGACGGGCATTCGGCCACGGCATCGTGAGTGCCTAGGGGAGAGCGTAAACGAGAGAAGAACAGAGGGCAATACGTTTTCTCCTCTGTCGCGAACAAGTCTACCTCCGCTTTCCAGAACCGTTCCCAGATCAGCCTCACTGTCCCAGGGTTCAGTCTCCATTTATCTGAACCCTGGCACGCGATTTATGTGCCACGTTCTCTCCGACTCTGTCCAGTAGCTCGAGGCTGGTACGCCGTCGCAGTGAGCTCCCCAGCCCGTCGTCGACGCGTCCATCGTGACCACTTTCCACCGCGTGACCAGACCCATCTGGGCACCGCGTTGGTACAAGTCGGGGTTTCGCCATGGTTTCAGCGCGTTCAAGCATCTGCGAGTGACCACAACGCGGGCACGGCCCATTTTCCACGCCCTTCTCGGTACTTGTGCCTTCAGCCATATCTGGAGGGGGCGCATATAGAGTCGACCGAGGTGACAGACGTCGTGGCCGCCGCCATCCGCCCCAAGAGCCTCTGATATTCCTTCAGTGCTACGGGACAGCCCAGCCTGAATGCATTCAGAGCGGACATTAAATCTACTATGCGCTCCTGGCTCAGATGCGCTCTCATCGAGATTGAGTCCAACTGCATCCACACATTTCGTAAATGTACGTGGCGCCAGCGCTAGCCCGAACGGCATCACTGTGAACTGATACGCTATACCTTCAAACGCAAATCTCAGAAAGCGCCTGTGACAAGGGGCGATCTGGATGTGAAAATATGCGTCTTTCAGGTCCACCGAAGCAAACCAATCTCTGGGTCGAATCTGCGCGAGTTGTCATTTTGAAAGTACGTTTGTATAATGCACGGTTGATGTGTTTCAGGTCCAGTTAAGGTTCTCAGGTCCAACTCCTCGGAGACCACCATCTTTCTTTTGAACGACAAAGTACCGGCTGTAAAATCCGCTCTCTCTCTCGCTCGGCTGGACCACTTCTATCGCGCGTTTCGCGAGGAGATTGAGAATTTCTTGCCTCAGCACCACATGACCACACCAATGAACCAGGGTGGACCACTGAAACTGAAGCGTGTAGCCGTTCTCTATTACGTTCTGCAACCAATCCGAAATGCCCGGAATGGACTGCCATGCGCTAGCAAAAAGACACAGAATTCGTCCTCTGAATTCTGAACAACGCCGCTGTATGCCGGGGTCGTATTCAGAAAGCTCACGGGACGAGTGGGAGTGCTGTATGTTAGCGAGGGTCGAGCCTCGCCGATCAACGGGGAGCGCGAGCCTTCTGCTGAATGTTTGAGCGACACGGACGTGCGTATGTGCGAGGTGTCGAGAGCGAGCCACGGCTGCTGGGGTCCGACACCGGCCACAGGGACGTGAGCCTTGCCAGATACACGGGTAAGCTGCAAGCCTTGCAGCACACACACAGCCTTCACACTCGCCCGACGGTTCCACGGGCGAGTGTGAATCCGCTATCACTGGAGGAGGTGTCACAGACTTAGTTGCATTTTGAACATACACAACACAGACATTCCCGTATTCACCTGCAACAGCCAAGGGGACTTCACGAGAACATCTCAGACGCTTCGCGGCGGGGGAGCTCCCCCTGGACGGCCGCCTTTCTTGAAGCCGTGACACCCCTTCCATGTCCTTTGCCACAGAGTTTTGGCGCGAACAGACGGCTCTGGGTCCGGCGCCTATGAAGCTGAAGCAGAGGGGGGCCGCTTCAACGGCCGGATGGAAGAAGATGAGGATCTACTAAGTGCAGCCCGGCGCGGCAGGAAGTGACTCATCGCCTTGGAGTGCTTCTGTGCTTCTGAGAAGCGCTCCGCGATAGCCTCCTCCGCGTCTCCAAAGAGGCCGGATGGAGATACAGGAGCGGTGCATTTGGAGTTGCTTTCGAAATACGTCAGCCTTCGTTGCGCAGCGGTGACGCAATCGGCCTTGGAATTCGGTCTTCGGAGGGTGCATCTTGAATTGGGACAGCTTATGCCGTGACGCTGTGACGCAATCACACTTCAAATGCGCATTTCGGAGTCCGTGCACTTCACATTGGGACACAGCTCATGTGTGCTATTGTGTCCCTATCATTACTGATCATGTTCACCTGTGTCTTGTTTGTTTCCTCATCAAACCTATCTATTTACATCCCCAGTTCTGTTTAGCTCTTTGTTTGGTATTCATTGATTTCAGTCACATGACTGGCTCAAAGACATGGAGGGCAAAACATCCACAGAACTCCAGCACATGCCTCTCAGTTTTCTGTTATTTTCCAATCCACAAATATTTAGATAATATTTAAAACAAAGATATTTGAACAACATGTATTTCAATCACTACAAACAGTGGGACATTAAAACGTTTAATGTGAAAAACACTTCGAGTGCCTTAATGTATTTAAAACAGTGATATTAAAAGATCAAATTCAGTATATTGATGATGTATACTTTATATACGAGCAGATGAGCTCAAAATATGAATGCAATGTGCTAAAAGGTTAAGTGTTTTCTTTATAATGGTGTTCTATGCGGGTGTGACATCATGTGAAAACTATGAATCGTCTGTGTTGAAGTTTGGATGTATTATGACTCCATTGTGTTACTCTGTGACTATAGTGCTGTTTTGTTTTGCTTAATTTTGTATTTTGGAAGACTGCTGTTGTTCAATCCGCTCTTGATCTCTTGCAACAACCCCGTGACATTGCAACAATAATGTATGTCTACATTTTAATATTTGTAGTATTTTATGTTTACTTGCATGTCATGTGACCATTAGCCAACATCAGAGAACATGATTGAGTGAATGTGTTAAATTATTGAAATTATTTCATTTGAAATTTACTTCAAGGAAATATATTATTTTATTATGTCTAGGGGTTATGTTTGGCTGACGAAAGTTAGTCTGATGTCATAAAATGTAAAGATCCAGGTAACCTCTTTCACTGATGAAATATCACCTTAACTGAGTTGCTGATGGATTTTTCTGTTATCCACAAAATTTAAGGCACATTGCCTATTATGTTCATGAAATGGAATGAATTTAT